TAATTTTGTCAGCTTCCTCCCCTTGCCCCCTCACTATTATTTTTTAAATTGTGGAGAATTAGCACAAAAATAGCTAACGCTTACACCCAGTTTTAACTACTGGTTATACAGTGACGTCTGTAGAACCACTTCCCTGGTAGAGGAGATGTTTCCTGTATCCCCGACGCCTGAGCGTGCCCTCGGCTTCCCATCCAGACTCCCCCGGCCCCCGCCCCCCGGGAACCCCCCCCCCTTGTACTTGGATCCCCCTCCTTTCCTCCCTAAACCTATGGCATATGCTCCTCCGTTTGGACTTTACATACAAGGAGTCACATTACAAATTCTTACGTCTGTGTCCGCTTGCCTGTGGTGGGACGTCCCTTAGTCTTGCCGACCTAAAATTGAAAATTAATCGAATAGTAGTCAGAAGTGACCACCTTTCTCTGAACGCCTGGCTTGGCTCCGTTTTGGGGGCGCACACTGCATTTCTAACATAACTGCCTGTCGGTCACAGCTCTCTGCGACACTGGGGACGCGTGTCACTCCGCCTTGGCATCCCCACGGCATGTGGTGTGCCTTGCCCGCAGAGAGTGGTGACGATTCTTCTGAGGAGTGTGTGGCTATGTCTCAGGGGATGACATTCGGGGCCTACTATTTGTTTTTGCTTATGTCGTAAACAGCCACGTCAAAATGGACAGGATGAAGGAAAGATGAGGGATGGGTCATTTAGCGACCCACTTACAAAGAATTCCCTTTCTCAAAACTAGCAAAAATAGTTTAAGCAACATTCCAAACAGCACGTGAGAAATCATCGGCCCACAACCAGGTAATATTTTTGGATGAAACGAGTTAACCAGAAGTAGCGTAAATGTTTTGTTCATACTGTGTAACTTGGTGATAGTCAACTCACTAAGGGCGGTAACTGTGACATTTTTGGGGTTTGTGCTGTTTTGCTTAAGGTAGTCAGTCCCATTTTAAGCGTTTCCTTAATCAAAAACAAGATCGAACCAAACTAAAACAAAGCAAAAACAAGAAACCCCACAAAACTTCAAAGGGTTAACAAAATACTGAGTAGGTTCCAAAAATATAGATTATCACTTTGGGAAAAGTACCTAAAATATGCTTCTGTTCTGAAAACCCAACACATTTATACTTCGTGGTGTGCGCGTGCGTGTGTGTGTGCACGCGTGCGTGTATATGTATGTGTGTATCTCGATACATTGTCGACTCTTGCAGTTCCTAGGATCGTTAATGTAACCACTTGCTAAGCTTTTAAACATTTTGTCGTAAATCTAAACATTGCAAAGCGTAAAGCTACATCCTTAAAAACCACTCGTCACCTAAGGTGGACATGAAGATTATTATGTGTAGAAAAATGGGAAAAGACCGTACGGAGGATGCTTGGGGTTCGATGAAGCACGTTTTAACACACAGCGCATCGTGGAAACAGCTGGAAAACTGTGCAGAGAAGCGACCGAGCCCTGCGGGAGCCAGACCACTCAACACGCTGCACGTGGGGCTCGAACTTGCGACAGCCGGGTGGACGACCCTCGGCGTTTCCCGCTGTCCCTCACCTTGAAAATCGAGTCGTCCAGGATGGAAAAAGTAACCAGCCGTTGTTTCAATAACTCACGTCAATGGAATGTTCTCTTTAAATGACATTAAGAAGAAACCGTTCAAGTGTCCATCTGATTATCTATTTTCCAGTGTCACCTACTGGCCCGCACGCACGGATTGAGAGCTACTTTACCCTTTCTGGGTACAACGAATGCGAGATTCTCGAAGGAACAGTTCGCTGACGGGGTGGCTGGCACTATTGTGGGAAGAGAGATGACTCAGAACGTTATCTACGTCGCTCGTCGGGGCGACTCAGCTACGTTCAGACTTAGACGCCTGAAGAAGGCTGCTGGCCACGAAGTTAGCCCGCGTGCCCTTGGCGAGCTTCGTCACCGGCATTTGTACCAGCCAGGTTTCGGCATCTCGGTTCGTTTTATACTTTCATCTGGTTAGTAGGTCTTTGTTTAATCGTCTTATGGAAAGGAGGACAAAGGCGGGGAGGGTAACGCACTACATTTTATCTCTGAAAAAAAAAAAAAAAAAAAAAAAAGCCCAACAAAAAAAAAAAGCCAGACAAAGCCAGAAGGCTCTAATGGCCTCCGATTTTCTTCGGGACATTTGGCACCATGCATCAGCTGGGGGATAAGGATCTCCCTCCCCGTACTTAACTGCGGACAGCTTCAGAACAGAAATGATGCTTTGCCAGCTGCACGGGGCTGCGAAGGCAGATTATCTCCCCAGAAAGGGTTCTGTGTCCTGGAGGGGAGGGCGTCTGTTTCTTAGATGCCACCTCCTCTGATAAAATCACTAGCCAGGGCAGTTCCCCCCGACAAGGCTGTCTCTTCATAAAGCATGCCGGTAAGGCCAGGTGACAGAGCTGGCGTACGTGGGGACAGCTCACGAGCACACCGGCCACTGGACGGCTTCTAACACTGCAAGGGGCCGCAGCGGCCACTCCTTTGCTTGGAATTTTGTCCCAGTAGCTCAGGCTCCTGCTGCTGAGACTTCCCTCTAAAGTCAAGACCCATTTTCTTCTTCCTGTTTGGGTCCCCTCACGTTTTTCTCCAGATGAAATCACCTTTGCCAAGGTAGAGCCCTCTCCTCATCTCACACACGCTGCTTCTTTTTCTTTTGTTTGACTTGATTAGGGAAAGTGGCTCGTCCCCACGCGTCGTGGCGGCCGGCATTTGGAGGCTACCCTCTGTTCCTTCGGCATTGCTTTCTGGAGAATGACCGTGGCCAACTTCCTAACTTTGCTTTGGGACACAGGTGTTTTATTTTCAAATCTGCGTTTCCCTCTGCAGTTTGCTAAACTTCCTTCGGTGGGCGTATGGACAGCTGTCTGGCGGCAACGGAGACCGCCAGTCCCTGACGCACAGGTCGCCCGGGTCCCTAGTGACTTGGACTGGACTCAACTCACTGACCTTGAGGTGAAAAGCTCTGTACCCCATTACTAATCCCTGGAGCTCTCCGGCCCCCTGAAAATGATTCTTTGGTTTTCTTATTGCAAAGGTCATTTATAAAATCATGAACTGGATTTAGGAAAGCAACCATGAAATAGCAAGGGACAAGGCACTGATTGAAATTCCTGCGACGTCGTGTGGGCTGAGCCTCTCAGACAGTGGGACCGGGGGAAGGTGACATTATCGGCACCCCCATTCTTATTTCAGTAGCATGACCGGCTCACTTAGACGTGTCAACTTTACACCCACTGACCATGCCTCGGGGAACTAAATCCTAAATAAAGAAAATGGAAGAGCAAACTATGAAATAGCCAATAATCTTTATTTTGCACGTCCCCACCCCCATCCCTCTCCAGAAAGCACTAATGGGTATATTTGTGCATGTGAAAATATTGTATAAAGTATTTAGAATGATCTCAAATTAATAGAACAAAAACACAAATCTCAACATAGATGTTTTGTTTCTTTGCAGGGATAGAAAAATTTGGCTTCTAGAACAAGAAGGGCAATGAAATACCACACTCTTCAAAGGGCTACTCCATTTCCACTGATTTTCAATTTAATATTCATGGCAGAAAATCTCATTTCTCTAACCACATAATACGTCTTAAAATATGACTAATTCATACACTAATATCAATTTACTTGGCATTAAAAAAATCACAATTTCTATTAATATATTTATATTAGGTTCAAAGCCCATATTCTAGCATTTAAGATATCTATTACACTGGCCCAGGTTGAGATTATTTCAAAATCAAGTAAAAGTCCATATTAATTCCAAAGTTGCTAAAATATGCTAATAAAATTAAATTTGAGGTTTTACATTAAAAATAAAATATTTGGTTTATTTCTTAGACATCTATAACATATAATAAATAATGGGCAGTATAGTAATATAATAAAGTTTTGTGATACCCTGAAATTTGATGAGTTTTCTTTAAAAAAATCATAGTATTCTTCATTTCAGCCTTAAACCACAATATCAATGAATAGATCTGCAGAAATGAAACAATATAAACACAAAATGCTACAGTTTTTTTTGTTTTTTTGTTTTTGTTTTTTTTTACTTTTGGGGAATCTACATGTCCTTTTAGTCGAAGTAAGTCAAAGAAATGTACAGAAACAAAATAGATAACAAAACATTTTCGAATCAGGAACCATGGGTTGAACTGTGTATTTTCCTTCCACCTGCAGGGCCGTTTTCCCGCCTCGTTCTGGACCCTTCGCTCAGTCAGCTCAGACTGACGGCTTTCGGCTCCGGCCCAGTTTCCCGCTCCTTTGCTTATTATATACAGCAGTCATTACAGACATGGCTGAGATTGCAGTGGATTTCAGAGAAAGCCAGAATTAAACACGATAAAAAATTTAAAAAATAACTACTTCATAAATATTTATTATTTACAGGAGGGGGGAATCTTCTAGTCTGGAGAGTTCTTATACAAGCCGATGACGTGTATAAGCCGTGAGAAGAAGGCCAGCAGTTTACGGAAGAGCAAACTCAGAACCCAACAAAGGTAGAAAATACGTGAGAGTTGACAAAAATAATCTGCACGAAAGCAAACAGGACATGATAGAAACCTTTTTCTTAAAAAATATAAGGTATTTCACAAAAGCCCGAACATTTACAGGTTAGTACTAAAAACGGGAGGAGGGGAAGCTTCATATATTTTCATCACAAAAATATTTACCAGTACTCCGACCGGAGTCCTCTTACGCTCTTGTGATTATCCTACTGGAGACAGGAAGAGGCTGAAACTGTATGCGGACTCACGAGACGACCCCTACGTCCCAGTCAAGGCCGTCTGCGCGTCATCTTCCCATCTGACACCTTCGTGAAAGGCCCTCGACAGAATCAAGAAGCCGCAAGGGAAGACTCTGGCCTCTTTATTGATAACACTCGTCACCGGTAACGACACGGAGGCGGGGCGGTCCTCGGCCACGCCGGCCCTGAGCTCTTCTGCGTCTCGGCGCGCGGGCCACGGGCGGTCTGCTCCCTTTTTTTTGCCTCCGCCTCCCGCGCCGCCACCCGCGGGGCGCAGGGCCGGGGCGTCAGTGCGCCCGGTGCTTCCTCTTCTTGTGCTTCTTGTCCTTCTTCTTGTTGGCACACTTGTTGCAGAACCACTGCATCTCCTCCGGGGGCGCGGTCATCAGCCCCACGCAGGACCTGCACGTTCGAAGAAAGAATTCGGACAAACGCGTTCTTTTTGCTTCTATGCTTTCAAATCATTTTAAGCGATTAAACAAAACTTTACGTCTACGGTCTCGGTACCAGACATGCGAGTGAAACAGCTCTGATTTGCGGAGTGCCACCGGGGGCGGGAGGACGAGGACAGCACGGTGTCCCTGTCGCGGCCAGCGGAGAGGGCCGCCGGCCCACCCACCCTGTCGGCCGGGCCGGTGACCACCCTGCGCCACAGCTTTTGTCACCTTACGGCTGTCACGCACCCTGTACCCTAATGCATTTCTATCTTTTCACATCTGATATTTTAAAAGTAAAATGAGATTATCTGCATAAATGCTGGTAGCATTTCCTCGGCTGTGGGAGCTACTGACGAGGCGTAAAGGACAGATAAGCTGTCTCTTTTTCTGCAGCTTATGATATGTGTACAGAGCGGCTACTTCAAGGTCACTGCCAAGCTCGGCAGCTCTTACAGCAGTGACTGGCGAGGAAGGAAAGGGGAACCCACCTCTTTTTGTGCCATAGGATACATAAGTTAAGTGAAACGTCGGGAACTTAGGCTCCATAACGATGCTGCAGACACTGGATTTTTGTGTGTGATCGACAAGAATCGCATCCTACAGGCTCATGGCCCGTGCGACGGGAGGCGGTGGGGGGAGTGGGGGGAACCCAGGTGGCCGTCCAGCCTGCACTAGGCGGGGTGCCTCCCCTCCGGGCCCAGGCGCTCACCAGTGGTACCAGTCGTCACAGTCGTCACACCCAATCATGGGACTCCCGTCGTCAGGCTTGTCACATCCAGGACAGATCCAGATCTGATTTCCCCACTCATCTCGGATCTGAGGAATTTTTTTGGCGGGGGGGGAAGCGGGGGGGACAAAAACAGAGATCGAATGGTGAGAAGGGACCAAAGAGAGGGCGGGATGAAACCGATCACTTTATGCCGCAAACCCAATAAACCAACTACTGAACTAAGGAAAATACGCTAGTCACGTTCGTAAAGCCACGACCGCCACGGTCGTCACTATTCCGGGACCACGTGACAAAAAGACCAGCTACTAAGTGCTCGGTGATAAGACATTTCTGTGAATATTTTCAACTCTCTTTTGTAAGTCATAAAAACAAAGCATTTTATAATAATTTCTGTGAACAATATGACCTGTAGGCACCTTTATCTAAAAAATAAAGTTCTTAACGATTAGGGTCTTTATGGCAGTGACAACCGATCCTTTCGACTGCTATCGGGCCCAGCTGCGCGCTGGCTCCTCAGTCACATTCACGGGCGTGGATTAATCCATGCGGCCAACTGTGCACGTACCGCCTCATTACTTATTAGCCAAACCCTTCTCCTGAACCAGCTGATAAGATCAAGGATATAAAAGAGTCGTTACTGAGTAACTTTCCATTCCCTTTATGACATTTTCAGGAAAGTACAATCACGAAAGGGCAAATGAAACAAGGGACTGAGGGAGCCAACGAGCTGCACAGTTTACCATTTTGCAACAAATACGCGGTGCTCCGGAGTTGACTTAACTCCAAACAAGGAGCATCCTTAACTGCTCCGCATGCAGCAGACCTCGGTGGGAGAAACGATTCTGTGGCGGGCGGTCAAAAACAGCAGCGACTAAACGCTAACGCTCAAGTTCTTGTAGTAACAGGGCATGTGACGTCATTCAGCTCATTCTGCAAGGTGGGGTTCCTTCACCTTCGGTCACACCAGTGGCTGCACGTGCAGAACACAAAGGCCGTTCTTTGTGTGCCATGGTGTATTGCGGGGACAGATGTTTCAGTCTACGGATGTGCTATTTTAAAGCCTGCCATTTTTGAAAAAGTCTCTCCAAAGGCAAATGAGTTCATATGAAAGCTTCCTAAAGAAATGTGTGGGCAGTGACACCAGGGACTCAGCCCCCTCCAGGTCCGAGGGGAGAGGACCATCAGCTCCCCGTGCCAGCTGTCCAGGGTGACGACCCGTCCCGCATCCGGGGCCTGAGGCTGCCTCGCGTGGCCAGCCCCACTGCTGGCTAACCTTTCTTGAACTTAGAAGGCCGTGACTGTTGCTACATGAGAAATCTGACTGGAGAGTCAGAAATTTTAGGGTTAGAACACAGTACGGTGAGCACCTAGCCTAGAGCAGACTCCTAGTTACAGATGGCGAAATGAAGGTTGAGGGACTAAACATCAAACCCTTCCCGATCGGCCCATCTGGGGGTCTGTGGCCTCAGTTAAACACCAAGAGCAAGTGGTCCTCGAATAGATCCATCTGGTGATCACAGATTATTCTATCACATCTTTATGTCTTGAATTGTCAATTTAATATTTTCCTGTTAGTTTTCATGGCTTTATAGCCTCTCCCAATACTTTTGAGATTTTCTTCTTATTCTTTGTATCATTATAGTGCCTCAAATATTTAATGATCTGTTGAAACCTCCTTCCGAAACGCCTGGAAGAGATGTAATATTTGCATAACTTATGACAATCCCGCCACCGTGCAATCACTTCTATGCAGAAGGGGCTGCGCCATCACTGGGCCGATAGGTCAGTCTCCAGATCTGGTGGTCCTGGCAACGTCAGACACGCTCGGATGCTCAGGGAGCTCCGTGGTCTGCAAGTTCATTTGCATTGTGCGCCTTCACCCACACAATACTGTCATTAGTGGCTATCAAAAACAGCGGCTGGCCCACCAGAGCTGCGTATGTTACGTGAATTCTACTCTTAAGTGAATAATTTAATTGCTTGATCGAGAAATTGACTGTGGGATTTAAATATCACTATTTCTCTCTATAGTTATACTTTGATATTGTTGTATATACATATGTAGTCATATTCTAAAACAATATAAAGAAAAACAACGCTTTGACGTTATTTATGGAGACGAAATATGCAAACACTGTAATATAGTACTTTTCGGCCAAAAGCTAGAAAATGTAATAACACTGTTCCAGTTATAAAGAATTATCTTTGAAATTCAATCCGATACATATGACTCTGCTTTTTAATTGCAAACGCTTTCATGATAAAATAGGAAGCTGTTAAGTGACTTTTTCGTAAATACTATAAAAATAAACGCAACGTACCACGTAAGTGCTGACTGTCTCCGTTACCACGCTCCGGACGGGGGCTTTGGAACTTCCAGCTCCAGAGATGGCAGGGGATGGAGACGCCATTAAAGCGGGGGACACGGTGGACTGTGTGAGGAGTGGCAAGGGCACCGGGGGAGGGGTGACATGCACAGGGACGGGTGCGGTGGCGGGTGCGGGCGGCGGGGTCTTGGGTCTGTTCAGAGAGGGAGCTGCCTTAGGCTCCGGGGCTGGAACCACCTTGCTGATGACGCTGTTGACAAAAGAGAAAGAAAAAAAGTCAAAACGCGGCTGCTGACTCCAACTACGTATTTTAAAACACCATGAAATAACTTCTTCTAGCAGCAACTACTCTTTGGAAGTGTCCAGACGTGCTCCAGGCCTCAGAGTTCAAGGCCTGCACGAATTAACTGCAACTTAGGCTCCGGGGCTGGAACCACCTTGCTGATGACGCTGTTGACAAAAGAGAAAGAAAAAAAGTCAAAACGCGGCTGCTGACTCCAACTACGTATTTTAAAACACCATGAAATAACTTCTTCTAGCAGCAACTACTCTTTGGAAGTGTCCAGATGTGCTCCAGGCCTCAGAGTTCAAGGCCTGCACAAATTAACCGCAACCAGTTCAGAGTCGTGGCTGGGGAGGGACGCTGAGTGGCGGGCGGTGCCTGGCTCCTGGGAGGGAGACGGAGGCCCCGGCCCCGTTCCCGGTGACGATCCCCACCAATAGGCGGCACTGGAGACCGCCGGCTGTCTCTCCATGCAGCGTCTCGTCCGCAGACCTCGGGCGGCCCCGGAGGCGTGGGCTCAGAGTTCGGACGCCTGGGTCCAAATCCTAGATCTGCCACGAGCTGGCTGTGCGGCCTTGCGCAAATCATTTAAAGACATGACTTACGGAGCCCCTTAAGAAGTCGGCTATTACACCTGGCACTTTACACGTATCGGCTCACTCGGTCCTCACGACGGCTTCAAAGGCGTCATAGTGATTCCACTTTGCGGACGAGGCAATGGGGCTAGAGACAGACGGGAACTGGGCAAATGGGTGCCAGGCTCTAAGCAGAGGTCTGGATTCCACAACTCTTCCAAGTTTCTTCATTTGAAAAAATTATGTATCATTTGAAGCATAGAGAAAACACTATAGCAGACGGCTTAGGTAACAGAGAACGGACAGGGCCTCTCGCCATATTTGCTGCAGACTGTCCCCCTCCTGCAGAAGTCACCACTGTCCTCGACCTGCCAGGTATGTTTCTGTAATTTTGTTTCTGCCTCGCAGACACCCATAAGCAATCGATACGGTACTACTCTCTTATGTGTTTCAACTATGCAAACTGAATTTATCCTCCCTCTGTAACTAGCTTTCCTCAGTTTTTTTTAAAATTTTTTTATTAAGATATAACTGACACATAACGTTGTGTAAGTCGGGTGCGCACTGCGCTGGTCTGATACATTTGTACATCCCGATATGATTATCACACTGGCTAATGTCTTTCTCATGCCACATAATTATCATTTCTTCTTTGCCTTGAGAAAAGTTAAGATCTAGTATGTGCAGCTTTGCAGTTTCAATAAGTGTTGTTGGCTACAATCTCTATGCTGTGCGTTTGATCCCCAGAACTTACTCGTCTCCTAGTTAGTTGCCCACTTAGTTTTAGGTCTTGTGATCTGTCCGTGTTGATACGTACGATCTACGTTATTTGTTACACTTGTTCAACTGTATTCCATGGTGTGAACAAGTCAAGGGGGTTTTGCCCATCGCCCCACTGAGTGGAGGACATACTACCGCGTAAATGTTACACGGTACCTGTACATATGCTCAGGTATTTCTCCAGGCTATATTCCTAGAAACAGAGTCGCGGGGTCACAAGGTGTGCACACCCCTGCCTTTACCGGGGACCCCACGCTGCTCTCTAAAGGGACTGCGCCAGCCCGTCTCCTTCCGCTGTCCCACGCATCGCTTTCTAGGCCTTTCTAGGCCAAGAAGCGCGTCACAAGCTCCGTGCGATGTGAAGCGTCAGCACTGGTGCCCTCCTCACGGACTGCGCCAGCCCGTCTCCTTCCGCTGTCCCACGCTTCGCTTTCTAGGCCCTGCTCTTCTGGTCAGCGAAGTGGGTACGTTCAGCTGCCTCTGGCGGTTGTGAGCAGCTGACACAGAGAAGCGCGTCACAAGCTCTGTGCGATGTGAAGCGTCAGCACTGGTACCCTCCTCACAGCCGTTGCTCACGGCAGCCGCTGGCACCATCGCCACCAGCCTGGATGGTTCCACTTTCTCAAGACACCGCCCCCCAAAGCACGGATTCTTTGCTGTGCTGATGAGAAGTTTATAAAGCATTAATTATTGCAAAAATGTCCTCATTATATAAGCGAAAAATTAATGCTGTCTCATTGCTCTCCACTTGTTTCACACAAGTGTGACGGCCTTCCTGACCCGAATATAGCCCGAGACTAGAGAGTTAACGTGGCCCGTTTGTGAAGGAGACACTCGATAAGTGCTTAAGATAACGAATAGTGAACATTTACTGAACACTGACTAAGTACCCAACTGTTCTAAGCACTTGAAAGCCAACAGGATACTGGGCACCGTGCTACATGTTCACCTGCCTCATCTCACTTGATCCTCATGACCACCAGATGAAGCAAGCGCTATCGTTACTCTCCATCGGAAGACACCCAGGCACAGGAGGTTACGGACCCTCGCAGATGCGCAGACCTCCGTGTGGGAGAGCCAGGATTCAAACCCGGGCAGTCGGACTTCAGACCCACACGGACACCGGCGGAGCGTCCTGAATGAGCTCTGCCTCACACATGAGGTGGGGCTGCAGAGTTCCTACTGTGGCATTTACACCCATAGGGCAAGCACTCCCTATTTTTATGGTTAGACTAAAATTTTAAAACACACTATTTTTGGAGGCATTTCCCATTATGGCCTCAAACATCGGTGCTGGAACCAGAACCCAAGGAGAAGTGGGAACCCAGAGAGGTAAGTAGAACCCAGATGTTTCACTCAAGGGCATCTGCCCACTAGGCGAATCTGATCTTTGGTTTTGATAAAGAGGACAGGATTTGAAGCCCAGGGCCTGGCAAAGTGTGCAGTCTACGAGTACTCACGCCTCCCCACATGAAGGCCTCTGAACGAGCTACAGAAATTAGGTAAAGATGAACCAGAATCTGGTGAACTCTCAGTTCTGGTGGCCCAGGACATTATAATTAAAGTCATTTAGACTAGTAATGTGCCCAGGTACCCAGCACTAATCACCTTGAGAGGAACTAACATAAAATCCAGGACTTGTATCGTTAATATAGATAATTATTTAAGGAAAAAAAGCAGCAGATAATCAAAGATAACCAAACATACAAAGAAGCAACGTAGCATCAGGGAGAAGCAGAAGAAATAAGAGACAGTATATAGAGACCTATAAAAAACACAGATACAAGAATTATCAACTACAAAACAACTCCACTCATGTTTAAAAAATGAAAGGCAAAGCCTGACATTACCTGCAGGAAATAGGAGTAACCTAGTAGATCTGAAAAGAACAGATCTGGAAATGAAAAGTGCAATAAGTAAAATTTAAAATGCAATAGATGGTAGAACTATAAACTGAATAGTAGGACAGAAGAAATGATCTAGAACGTAGTCTGGAGAGGAAAAGAGAATCTGATAAAAAGGTCTACTTAGTCCATGTTTGATCATAAATCTAGAGAGAGATTGGAGCAGAGGCAAAAAGAAAGAATTATCTGAGACTTCTACAGAACTGATGAAAGATATCAATCCACAGACTTAAGATGCCTAACAAACCCCCGGTGAGATAAATAAAAAGAAATCTGTACTTAGATACATCAGAGTGAAACTATGAAACATCACAGACAAAGAGAAAAGCCTTGAAAAGCAGCCAGAGGGAAAAAAGAATAATTATTTTCAAAGAAGAAACAGCAATGATGAACTAGAAGACAGTGGAATAACATTTTCGATGTGCTGCAGAAAAGGAAATTTTGTCTGAAAACATCTTTTAAGAATAAGGATGAAATAAAGACATTTTCAGGCAAGCAAAATCTGAGGATTTGCCACCAGTGGATGCTTAGTAAAAGAAATTCTAAAATAACTATTTTCAAATTATTTTTACATTCTTAGAAATTACTGAGAAACCCAAAGAAGTCTTATGTGCATTTTTTCTGTGAATATTTACCATATTAGACATTGTAAGAGAGAAATTAAAACATTATTTAATAATTCACTTAAAAGGAGCAGTAATAAACCCATTACATGTTAACAGATAACATATATATATATATATATTTAATGAAAAGCACGTTTTCCAAGACAAAACTGTTTTGCGAGAGGACTGGCACTGTTTTATATTTTTGCAAATCTCCTTACTGCACGCTTATGTAACTGGAGAAAGGAGGGGAAAAGCATTTTAATGGCCTTTTCAGATTACTGTGTAAATTCTTTGATGCTGCACCAAAATGCAACCACTGGCAGTTTCTTAAAAGGCAGTTGGGTGTCTACAACCTGAAACTGTATCAAAGCTTTTCATGTTCTGTTACATAAAAACCCACTGAGCTGTCTAGCGCGCTAAATAGATGTTTTACCCGTGTGCATGATTTCATAAGTTCTATATTGGTCATCTGGAATGCTGATTGACTGAGTTATACGGATCTTCCAAACACACATTTTATTATACAAATACTAAAAAAGTTACATTTGTTGGTCCAGCTCACCATCCAGCTCACCAAAAATTTCTTAAAGTATTGAGGAGCTGTCATAACGGTGTGTTTTCTAAACTAAATTCTAACTTTTATTTACAAGCGTTAATTTTATAATTTATAACAAATACTCTCAGGTCCTTTCTTTGAAATAACAGGCTTACCGTATTCATTTGTGAGAAAATGTTGGCCAAATATCCAAGTCTGAATAACCACTGTTTGTCAGTTGTTCTTTCAAGTAAAAATGGTATTATGTGAGCAAAGCAGCTAGTTTAGTTTGCAACTTCGACAGTCACACAAATGCTTTTCCTCAAAACAACCACCGTTTTTCCCATTCGCTACCTTCCACTCCGGCACACACACTACTGAAAAGGTGCACGTTCCAAGGGCCCCGTGCCACACCTGGAGCACACCTGGGCTCTGAGGGAGGCAAGCACTTCCGCTCAAGACAGATCGTCTCACCCGACGGCCTGAGGTGCAAGGAGGAGCGGGGACGAGTGACAGCGTCGGCGAGGCCGAACAGACGCCGACGCGAGAAAACCACAGCAATATG